TGTTTTGTTTATTTTATTCGCAATATTTTACATAAGAAATGTGAAAATTTTGCTAAAATTAGTAATTAAAACTATTGATTAGTTGAAATATTGTTTAGAAGTATCAGAAGTGGTTGATGAAGGGCACACTTCTGGACAACCAATTACAGCATTACAGGCTGCCTGGAATGTCACTAATGCAATTCAAGGAATGTTTATCGTCGGTTTACCTGTTGCTGTTAAAGTATAATTTTTATATAGCATAAAAGGGAATGAGATTAATAATCAAATATAAAGTTTCTTTTTCAAATTTTCAACTATTACAATTTCTTGAATTTTGAATTCCTTCAATTGCACATTTGTTTTTCCTCAATTAATTTTTGATTTACAACTTATAATTTATGAATTAGTGAAATTATCTTGAATTTTTCCCCAAAAACTTAAATACTAAATGATATTATTTGGGATTTAAAAATTGCTAAAATTTAAATGCACAAAATTATCTGCAATAGCTAGAAAAAAAAAAGGTAAATAGCTAGTGCAATCATCAATTAGCTATTCTTAATTTGATTATTTAATTCCTACTACTAATTTCATAATTTATTTGAGGTGGGTGGATGGTGGACTGTTGCTGCAATTGTTGGCGTTGCATATTTATGCTATTGGAGTGGAATTTTACTCATCGATTGCTTATATGAAAATGATGTCAAAGTAATATAAGCTTTACTTCTTGAAAATATTACAAAACAGAGCGAGAATATCTGAATGCTTTTCAAAATTCAATGAGGAATTTGTCAATTTAATTTAAAGTATGATATTTATATGAAATATTTTATGAAATATATTTATGAAGCATGAAAAATTTGAAATGTTATAAAAAGTTTTAAAATTTTTATACAGGTAAGAAGTACATATCAAGCGGTAGCAGAAGCATATCGTCCAGGAATGGGTCGCTTTGTATTATGCGCTCAATTAACAGAATTACTTAGTACTTGTATTATTTATATTGTAATTGCTGGAGATTTACTTCAAAGTTGTATACCCTCTCTTGGTAAGATGATAATTACAGTATTTAAACAAGTAAGGTAAAACATTACAACTGTATTCTCTAAATTACAGATATAATAATTGTTACTTTAAAATTTGATCATGGAAATATTTAGTGATTAATTTATGATTTTAGGTGTATCATTTTTTTGGTTGAACAAACAAATTTCGGTACATTCTACATATGTTTATCCATTTATTTGTTTATTTATTTAAAAATCTTGAATTATTATTTAATAATTAATAAGTGTCTAAATGTTGAAAATACAATTTGATATTTATTGAAATTTAATTTTAAAAAAACAAAAATTAGAAACTGCAAAAAAGAGAAAGTGAGGAAAAAGAAGAAAATTAAAAGTAGGAAATGAGAGAAAAATAGGTGAGGAGAAATTAAAATTAAAGTTGAAAAAAATTAGCAAGTAAAATTTTGCAATGAAAAAGTTATGCATATTTCCTTTTTTTTTTGATTTGTTTTAATCGATAATAACTGTAAAATTTGCAGATAAATCTGCATTGATGATGTTTGTAACAACAGCACTTCTTGGTTGTGCTTTTTTGGATTCAATTCGAGTGGTGAGCAATTTAAGCCTAATAAATGCCATTTCACACCTGGTCATTAATGCTATCATACTCATTTATTGTTTATTTCAGGTAAGTGCATTTTTTAAAAATTCGAAAAATATGCTAATTTTGTCAAAAAAAATGTACAAATTTAAAGAAGTTCGTTTTTTGATATATTTTAAAAAGATTTAGTAATTATCAACAAATTACTACAAGATGGTAGTCAGTCAGTACTAGCTATTTTAAAAATTTGAAAATGATAAATCCATATAAATTTGTTGGACGTATAGCAAATTTTTGGGCATTTATGAATGAATTCACAATCTGTTTTAAATATCAGAGACAAATTTGAAAGCAAGCTTAGCCTTTTATTTTTAATTTTAAATTTTTCAAATTGCGTAAAATTTTTTTGAAATTGTGTGCCTTTTGTTTTTTTTTTTTTGCTGAAACTTAAAAAATGATCATTTTTAATTTAATTTTCAAAATTAACGATATCGAATTGGGTATGGAATGAAGTGCCATTTACATTCGATATTCATACTATGCCAACAGTAATCGGCGTTGTTGTTTTCGGTTATACTTCACACATTTTTCTTCCCTCATTAGAAGCATCCATGGAGGTTTGAAAATTTAACAATTAATTTTTAGCGAATGATTTATGCTTCCTTAAATGAAAACTCCAGTCTTTTTGACTTAATTTGATTAATTTGAAATTTTTAACTAAGAAATTTCAATTCTTTTAAAAATTGTTTAAAAAAACCCCAATTTTTTAAAAATAAGAGAAAAAGAAAAAAAAAGAAAATTTAAACCAGATTATTGATGATCAATAAACATTCAATTGTTAATAGCTAATAATTTTAGGATCCAAGCAAATTTAAATGGATGCTTCGATGGTCACATATTATTGCAGCAATTTTTAAAGCACTCTTCGGTCTTCTTGGCTTCTTAACATTTGGCGATTTTACTCAAAAGGAAATTTCCAATTCATTACCAAATCAAACATTTAAGGTTTAAGTTATTTA